TTATTTATTTATTTATTAGTTTGGTCATCTTATTATGTATAATAATAATAATAATAATGGTGACTGCATGGGGTTGCAGGGGGTAGCATGATCGCCTCAGAGCAAGAAGGTCGCTGGTTTGAGTACCGGCTGAGTCAGTTGGCGTTTCTGTGTGGAGTTTGCACGTTCTCCCTGTGTTAGCGTGGGTTTCCTCCGGGTGCTCTGGTCTCCCCCACAGTCCAAACTCATGTGGTACAGGTGAATTGGGTAGGCTAAATTGTCCGTAGTGTATGAGTGTGTATGGGTGTTTCAACTGGAAGGGCATCCACTGCGTTAAACGTATGCTGGAATAGTTGGCAGTTCATTCCGCTGTGGTGACCCCCGATTAATAAAGGGGCTAAGCTGACAAGAAAATGAATAAATAATATAGGTATTTTAGCATTTTAAGAACATTTTCTCTAACTCTATGGGTATTTAAATGGCCTTAGAGCGTTATAATAATTTTTTTAAATGTGCAAATATTTTCAATGATGTTTAAAATGTTTAAAATAAAATATTGCAGTAGATGTTTGATCTAAATGCAGCTTTTAACATCATTTTTTCAGCTATTACTTTAAAAAAAAAAAAAGCATTGGGTTTGTCACAATTTGTGAATAATATACAATGCATGAAACCAAAATAATGCAAATAAAGCATGCAGTGTATGCCATCAAATCATATTGGCACGTAAATGCATCTCAATCTTTCCTTGAAATACTCTTTGTGGGAAGGTAAAGACTTTATGACTTCATGCTTAGTTATTTTTTAGTGGTGGAAAGAGTACTGGGAAATCATACTCAAGTAAAAGAAGCATTACTTGCCTAAAAATGTAGTGTAATTAGAGTAAGAGTAACTGCTGTAAATATTACTCAAAGTAAAAAGCAGCCCTTTCAAAAGCACTCAAGAGTAGTGAGTATTACGCTGTTGTAAGCTGATGCATTTACATTTCATTTATGTATGCGTGTATATAGTTATTGTCCAGCAGGCACACTGCATCATAAGATATTATAAAATTAGGTTAGATTTAGGTTGTGATGTCAGGTGACCAAAACTCAATGTCTAGCCAGTGTCTAAGGACAACGTTATTTTGATGTCCAATAATGACGTTGGGCAAGGCAGTGGCGCAGTAGGTAGTGCTGTCACCTCACAGCATAAAGGTCACTAGGTCGCTGGTTCGAACCTCGGCTCAGTTGGCGTTTCTGTGTGGAGTTTGCATGTTCTCCCTGCCTTCGCGTGGGTTTCCTCCGGGTGCTCCGGTTTCCCCCACAGTCCAAAGACATGCATTTCCCAGAGATGGGTTGCGGCTGGAAGGGCATCCGCTGCGTAAAAACTTGCTGGATAAGTTGGTGGTTCATTCCGCTGTGGCGACCCTGGATTAATAAAGGGACTAAGCCGACAAGAAAACGAATGAATAATGACGTTGACATTTGGTTGATTTTAGGTTGTTAGAAAGCGAACAAAATCCAACGTTGAGCCAACATCTAAAACCACTGTCATATTGACGTCAAATACTGACATTTATTCGTCAGGTACAGCAACCAAAAGCCAACGTCTGAGTGGTACGGTAAAGCTGTAACATCATTAGACGTCGATATTTGGTTGATTTTAGGTTGGACATGCACCTGACAATGCGTTCTGACGTCAACCAGATTGTCATTTCCAAGCAAAATGCAGCATCCCCACGACGCTAGGGTATAACGTCAATCTGACATTAATCTGGGTGTTTAAGGCCAATTGGGTCATCATACAGTAAACATCCGTCATCTTCACATCAGTGACATCATCTAAACAGTCTCTGGGTCAACGCGTGTAAAGATTTTGCACATCTTCTTGGACACTTTTAGGCCCAGTTTAAACTAATGTGTTTTAGTTTGAAAATGCATAAGTTTTGCTACGGTTACGCCATCCGTTTACACTACGCCGGAGTTTTCAAGCACCGAAAACGGAGCGTTTTGGAAACCCTGAAGAGGCCGTTTTCATTCTAAAACGCTGCTGCTCCGTCTCAGTGTGGATGGGGGAAAACGGAGACATCTGAAAACGGAGGCGGAGCTGCAGACATTAGCCTCTCTGATTGGGGCTTTTGCTCAATATTAAGTAGCCTAACACACACAGTTCAGTTCTGCATCCTCTCCTTGTTCAGACTTCGCAAGTTTGACATGGAAAACAGACTCCCGAGGACATGTCGGGTAAATCTTCAAAGGGAGCAGTGTACTGTATAACCTCATTCACTTCATCCTGGCTATGCTGTTTCACTATATCTTAATAATAAAATAAAAACATGATATAAGGAACTTCTACTTTCATTTTGATATTAACAACTTAACAGACAGCAGAAATGTTGAGGCGTCGTACAGCATATATGAGCGTCATCTTCGCTGCATGCGTATTCATAACAAGACGGAGCCTATAACATCACTACCTCTTAATTTCCAGTGAAAATACGAAACATGCACTCTCTTTTGCTGAATATCAGTTTTAATAA